TCGACGGACGGAATTCAACTGAAACGCTTTGCAATCTGTCGATATTCAACAGATTGCAAAAACTGGCAGAAAATATTTGCGAGAGTGCACCTACTCTTTTCCTTAAACTATGGTATAAGCATATGCGAGTCTCTATTAATACCACTCAATATTTTATAATAACTGTTAATAGAAAATCACACATAAACGATATCTCATTTCATGATAAGTAGTTAATCCCAACAATACAATCAAACAAAAACTAAACCGTAACATAATTTTCTAACTACTAGCTATGTGTTCATATCTTCATTTTCCTAAAGAGTAATACTTCACGCAAAAAGAAAATGTGATTTGTAGCAACAAGAAGACAATAAACCGATCAATTACATGAATTATATCACATAAACTGCGATGAATTTGAATCTTTACCAACTAGACACATGAACAAAATCAGATTTCCTTATAAGCAAAATCAATTAAAACCAACTGGGATAATTACGATAAATATAGATGCAGTATCGTAGGTACAATAACCCAGCATACGACGATGGTAACAGTAAAGAGAAAAAAAAACAGGTTTAACGTTAAGTATTATTATATCTGCTCTAAGGTTACTTTGATTTACATACATTGGCAGACGTGACTTGTAGATGTATGATAGAAAAACAAATATTACTAATTCTGGTCATACGGATGATTTGAATAGAAAAAATGTACGATTTCAAAAAATATTTTCTTGGATAATACTGTTAGCTTTTGTGTTTTAATAATCTTTATATTACTCTATTAGAATAAAGAACAACAATAATAACTGATTGTTTTGTTTAGTCAATGCGTTTTAGAAATGAATACCTTGTAGTTTCTTACATACCTAATGATCACGTCACAGCGACATTTGAAATGACAATCGATGATAATTTCTGCGACACCGTTTCTAGTGACTCTAGCAAACTTAAGAAAAGCAGCAATAGCTCATACTTCAGAACTTAAAACCATCTCTAGAGTAAACATCAATAAACTATAATAATATGACTTTAAAATGACAGTGACTATACAAAAACAATAAACACTATTTTATAAGTGAAATGTTTAATATTGATGATGATTGAACTGTTGATGAGGACCCAAAATCAAGTCTAATAAAGCTGTAAATAGTTACTGTCTTATTCAAAAGTGAATATCTCCAGTAAAAATAAAGCTATTGAGATGAATCACAAAGCAAATGATCGAGAAAAGATGTACCATTGCGATCAAAAAATGTGGTACAACAAAATATGATTTAATCTGCTGGTCTATAATAAAATATGTTTAAAACTTGAAAAATTACCCATTTTTAAAAGGTAGGTAAATTTTTTATACTTTTATTTCGCCACGTATACCTACCAATTATCACCAAATTCATGGTAACGCCTAAAAAGTTAGGTGGACATAATTGTATTGTTTTCATAGTGACGACGATATCCACTTCTCGAATCCTTATAGACCAGGAGTTCTATCTGGGACTACTAATTCTTGTACTACTTTTTTTATCGCAATGGTACCTAGATGATAAAATTATTTTTAAATTCCTTACTTTATTAACATATTCCACAGGGTATGTCAAACTTTCACCTAAAAAAATTAACATTTTGTTTTCCCTCGTATAATTGACAGATGGAAACTTTCATTTTTAATTTAGAGAGAGATACTAAAAAGTCAAATAATTTAGCTACAAATTGCTTAAAAAAATCATCAAAATTGGCACACTAGAACAAAATATATTAAACTTTAAAATACATCAAAATTTTAAGGTACCCGTTTTTCTTGTCGTTGAGTGTATTTTGCGATACATTGGTTTTGGGACTTTCTTCTTCTTATCACGCCCTCTCCTGCCGAAGGTTGGCGATCCAAATGGCAATTGTGGCTCTGGAAACTGCAGCTCGGAAGATTTCCGCAGACGAGCGTTCAAACCATCTCCTCAAATCTTTTAGCCATGAGTTCTGGCGTCTTCCTACTGATCTTTTCCCTTGCACTTGGCCCTCTATTATGAGGCGCAGTATTTCGTATCTATCACCTCTCATCACATGACCCAGGTATTGCATTTTTCTTTCCTTGATGGTGTTCAATATCTCTTTTTGTTTCTGCATGCGCTGGAGTACTTCATCGTTGGTGATCCTTTGTACCCATGAGATTCGCAGCATCCGTCTCTATACATACATTTCAAAGGCTTGTATTCTCTTTTCGGTCTGTGAATCCAGTGTCCAGTTCTCACATCCATAGAACAGTAAGTATCCATCCAGTAACACAGAGAAGACGTAGCATCTGGCCATTCGAGTTCTGATTCCGCACTGAGGTCTCGTCTTGTAAAAACTTGGGACTCTTTGGGACTTTAGAAGCTCTTTAAAATAATCGGTTTAAAAATCTGACACCTTCTTGTAGAACAAAAAAATAGCAATGAAAATGTGGATTTTATTTTGATATATCTATTGTGCAAATCGTCCTAAAAATAAAATAAAGTCGCAAATATTCCCTATTTTTTCAAAAATCTTCGGAATAAATTTTTCAAAAAAGTATTTGGAACTTTTAAGTTGGCATTTTGTTTTTTTCTCTAGAAACGACTGTAGACGATATGGAGTTCTGAACATAAAGGAAGTTCTTCCATTATTCAAACTTGTCCCGTTCAAAAAGTTGGAAAGTTTCCAAGAACTTCCAGACTGCAGCGTTAAAAGCTATTATCATCAAAAATGTTTCGTCTGGCCTGGATTCTCCAAAATTAATCCAATTAGTTTAATAGAAAAATCCATGATGCGGATGATATTAATTCTAATTTAAACGTGTGGCCTAGTTAGAATCCTGGAATTCATATGTTTAGTTCTTTTGATCTCTAAAAGAATTCTCTTAATTATATTTACGACCACAGTATTTCCTCAGATTAAAATTTTAATTCTGTACTCAATAAATTGTTTGTTTGTCCTATATAAATGATTAGAGCAATCTTCAGGAAATTGCGACATTAAAATCTCAACACTTTCAAAAAAAATCAAAAGTTTATTTCTTAAGCTTCATTCAGAACCTCGAAATTAGTGGTTTCAATTAGCGTGTTCCAGCAATTAAGTTTGTTCCTCTAATTTCAATGTTAGCATTCAGAATGTCAAAATTAGTGGTGGTAATTTGCCAATAATAGAAAAAAGTTAACAAAATATGAACATTTGCCACTAATTATACTTCATAGTTTGCGAGGAATGTAATTTTGGTCTTTGATTATAATAAGTCAAGAGGAATTGTTTTTAGAAATCAAAAGTTTATTGTTTTTAACTAATTATTAGACTTGCTTTATGGATACAAGTGATGACAGCAAGCTGTTATTAGGATATTCTATTTTAATTGTATTTTTTGGACATTGTGAATGATCGTAAATTTTTAAGTATAAAGTATAAAGCTTTATTCAGAACCTCGCAATTAGCAAAATAAATTAGTGGTTTCAATTACACTTTACACTTTTTAGTTTACGATCATTCACAATATCTAAACAACACAATTAACTAAAATTAACAGAATATCTTAGCAACAGCATGCGGTAATTAGTTGTATTCATAGAGAAATCCTAAAAATTAGCTTATACAACAATAATTTTTTTGCTTCTAACCACATTTTCTATTGACGAATGATATAATCAAAGGCTAAAATGACACTTCTCGCAAATCTTGAAGTATAATTAGTGGAGAAGTTAAAAGTTTGTTAACTTTTCCACTAATTGAAGATTCCTACCACTAGAATCTCTAGATAGGCTGCTGGGAAATGACGATCGATGACATTCCCCATATAATTCTACATATAGAATGACAGCGATTTCCATTTTATAGCCATCGCCGACGCCGTGCCGTTTTTTCGATTATTGTATGCGTAGATGTAGATAGTAATGTGCATATAAATGACATTTGGGCTCAATCCGGTGTCTTTTTATAGAAAAATATATTTTTAGACTGATTACTATATTTTGAAGTTTTTTTTGATTTACTGTAGATATTTCCAAAAGACTGCTTTTATCCCAATAGACTTCTTGTAGTTATAAGAGCGTAACAAATGTATTGTACCAAATGTAAAGAACCAATAATTTAGAGTTTTTTAGTTTCTTTCGATTTATACTGCTTCGTAACTAAATATACGTATGCGTATACCGTGCGTAGACGTGCGTCTTAAAAGTGGCTCACCCCCTATAACTTTTTATTTTTTTCAGATAAAAAAATCGACATTTGGTATTTTAGTATGTGACATAAATTAGGATTGACTGATTATTCAGTACCTATTCAATTGTTTTTGTTCACTTTCTATTTCACCGGAAATTACTACAACTTTTGATTTTTAAATGGCACCCTCGGAATTTTTTTACTTTATTCGATAGAAAATGACACTCTGAATAGATAGACATTTTCGCATATGGTTTGTTTGAAATTGTAACATGTGGTTCATAACGACAATTTGACTCGAAATACCAAGTGTGTGGTATCAAATTATTGGTAAAAAATGTTTTTTCCAAATATGCTCTCATTCCAAATATGAGCCACCCTCGTTCCATTTGAAAAAATTGAGATTTGATTAAAAATACGATTTGGACATCTTTTAACCGGCCAGGACAAGACACTAAAACATTAGAAGATCAAGTCTATTTTTCCAAGGCTCCTTGATTAACAATTAGTGTTTTTAACACAGCCATGGCACTCTAGATTGAAGTTAAAATACAATTTGTTTTTGAGCGAATTGACATATTCGCTGAGTTGACATATGATATGTCATTCGATTCAGTGTTATTTTCTATCAAATAAATTAAAAAAAATACCGAGGGTGCCATTTAAAAATCAAAAGTTGTGCTGAAACAGGAAGTGACCGAAAACAATTAAATACGTGAATCAATCCTAATTTATGGCATATAGTAACATACCACATCTTATTTTTTTATCTGAAAAAGTAAAAAAGTTATAGGGGTAAGCCACTTTTGAGACGCACCCGGTATTCATTATTATTGAAATACATAAAGACGTTTTTGATGAATATCTATCTATATTGTCGACGCTAAATATTCACAACCCTACTTAACTTATGTATTCTGTTGAGCAATACATCTCCATTTTTGATCACGTTCTCCAGCATTTCTTGCCTCTTGTCGGACCGCATGTTTACTATATTTCCGCTCACTCTATCAATTTTGTAGTTTAATCTTTTCGCAGCAATGAGCTTAGTCATGTCTTCTTCTAAATATTCTTCCGTCACACCGAACCTATCCGCCATGTATGACAGATTCAAGGAAATGTAAGTCGACAGCAACTGATCGTAGGCCTTAATCTTCATTTCTTTGACGTAGAAATGGTAGTGGGCGTGCAGTAAGGCGTCTTGTCGCATATCGATCTCCACTTCGGCCAGGGCTTTGAAGAAATCCTTAAATTCGCTGTTGTAGAAAGAGAATAGGTATTGTTTTAAGGTGTTGTCTCGGTGTAAAGCCTGCAAAATATCCGAGTTCTTCATTATTTTCGATTGCAAGTCGTTTCGCTTAAGTATTAACATGGCGGAGTAGACGGTGTACTTGATGAAGGTACTTAAAGATATTAATTCTGTACAGACGAATGTTGAGATGACGCTGGTAAAGACGTCGCAAGCTGTGGTAAAGTCTCTTGTAGCCAATGAATAAAGACCTGCAAAAATACAAAAACAGTTACACCGGTAAAATATTCAATTTTTAACTTAATTATATTATTCAACTAGAGAACTATTAGTTCAATTTTTAAATTATTTTCATATTCATCATGGTTGGTTGGTTAATGTGGCGAATTCAGCAGCTTGTCGAACCCCAATTAGCAGAATTGCCGTTTTGATACCACTCACTCTGAGACCCTATCCCTAGGGATGGTACATTTAGTTTGATAAGTGTAGTTCATACATTCGGTAGGTAGCAATGAAGAAACAGTCGAAACAGATGATAGCTGTTATGCTCTTCTCGGCGATATCTTGAAAATATATAAAGTTTTAGCCTCCGAGGAAGCGATTCCAGTCCATTAGAGAGTTATATTTGTTTAGTGAAAATTGGAGGCTTTCGAGATGTGGCTATATCGTAGAATAATGAAGATACCTTGGACGGTTAGGTTGACAAATGAAGAAGTTCTCAGACGTGTTTACAAAGAGCGTGAATTGTTTGAATTAATTAAAAAGAAGAAAAAAAAAACGCATACCTGGGGCACATAATGCGAAACCCCATATATCAATTCTTGCATCTGTTGATCAAAGGCAAGATCGAAGGCCAGAGGGGTATCGGTAAGAAGAAAATGTCTTGGCTGTGGAATATTAGACAGTGAACAGGGCTATACGATGTACAATGATACAGTCGTTAATACACACCGCCCGGAACAGAGAATCAATGGAAAATGTTATCGCAAACATCCATTAATGGATCTGCACTACAAGAAGAAGTGAAAATGCATTATATATTTATTTCTTTTATGGACATATTTTATGCAAAGTGCAAAGATGCATCAAACTTATACCTTAATAAGCCTGGGTACCAGGGCACGAGGGTCGCAAGGGTAACGAAAAGGTAGATGAAATGACCAAGCAAGGCTTATCAATGCCATCCATAGGCCCCAAACCCTTCTGCGGCATTGCAAAAGCAATCACGAGAATGGCCACGGAACGATGGGTGGTCAACAAATCTCTAGAATGGTGGAGAAACTCACCAGGGCAGAGACAGGCGAAAAAGTTCATAGTTGAATATTCGCCAAAATTCACGGCAGACCTGATAAGCAAAGACAAAACGACACCAAAGCTGTAGTGGGTCTACTAACAGGGCATTTTAAGCTAAATAGACATCTAAAGCCAATGGGATTGACGGATGAACCCATGTGTAGGTTCTGCCAATTTGAAGAAAAAATGACGGAACACATTTTATGTCGGTGCGACAGCCTGGCAAATGTGCGATTCTCGGTAATAGGCAATGATAGATAGGCCATTTGCCAGGGTGCTACATGGAGGGTTCAGTCTTCAAGTTGCTAGAGTTTGTTAAAAGGATAGAACTGGAGAATGCAACCTAAGGATCAGAAGAGGAACACAATAGATCTGAGAAGGTTACAGTGGATCAGGCCGATAACCACCGTAGGAATCTAATTTATACCTTAATATACACCTATTATTAAGTCACAGACAGACGACCGCAAACCTTTTTTAAAACTTCAAGTGCTTATTTAAATTTTCATTTTTAGTTACGTGAGTTTCATACCTCAAGATAGACACAATCTCTATTGTTCTATCTCTAAGCAGAATTAATCTACAACAAACGATCTTTTAGCGCATCATTTTCTTTTATTTTTCTAAAGCCGATGCCTTTGCCTAATTAAGCCTATTTTGTTCTTGTGCAGAGCGTTCTCAAATTTAAGATATTTATCGATTCCAGTCTCTATAGAGACGAACAGAATAAAAAATGCGACCAAATAACAAAAAGCAAATAACGGATACTGGCATTTCGCTTGTGCTCATTAAAATATTTTACTGCCTGGTGATATATAGGGTGGCTCTTAAATAAACAGATTTGTTTTGACTATCCAAACGCGTTGGAATTAAATTTATTATAATCTTTTAGTAAAAACAAGAATACTGAAAATGTTCCTTTTTCTGCGGTAAAATAATTTATATCTTGATGTTTTAAATTTGTTTTTGTAATTACTGTCATTAAAAAGTCATATTATTATATTACATATTATTATTGTCGTTGGCAGATACTCAGCAGAGATGGTTTTAAGTCCAGACTTTGTTGCTCTAAATAAACATGGCAGAGATCAGCTTCTAGGTTGAAAACCATCTGTACTATAGATCATATCAAATAAACTCAGTCATGTGATTAAACTTGACCGGCACAGTACTGTCTACTTTTACATATTTTCTTTTAGTCAAAATATTTTAGGAAACAAGAATAAATCAATTATAAATATATAAACAGTTAGGGGAGAGTAACCTAAGATAGGACGATTTTCTTAAAAAAATAATATCTTAATAACTAATCAAAATAAAACAAGTTTTTGTAAATGATCGAAACTTATACTCCATAGCCAACAAACTTTGGCCAAAAAATGACGTATAGAAAAAACAAAATACATGTAATTCCCTGATTTGTAAAAAAGAGTTTTTGTCCCATCTTAGGAAGCTTGTCTCCCAAAACGGATCAGGAGGTTGCCTAAGAAGGGACATTACTTTTCACAATGGGCACATGCCAAATACAAATCATCCATGATTCCACAAGACTCATGAGCCCACTGTGAACATTTATGGCAATTATACCAGTCTTCTCCACTCTCCATATTACATAATTATCTCCACAGACGGTACATGCTGTGTCATCTTCATCAGTAACATTCTTTACGTTGCAGTCAATTTTATTCTGACTGCAGCTTTGTCTTCTTACACCTTGCACTTAGATCTTCATTGAAAAGTATATTTTTAGCACTGTTTATTCTTTTATTTACTTTTGACGTCTGCTGGGCCTCCAGTTGTTTTTTCCAGAGTCCAGTATGGGGACTCTGTCAAAATAGTAGACTTCAATGATCTCCTAGCTGTTTGTTTTTTTCGTTTGTCTGTAGCTATCGGTAAAGGACTGATGTCAATAATTTTTACTTATAAAAATACGAAAAATACGATTTGTCGGAGGCATCTGAAATGAAAAAGAAACGTTGGAAGAATATATTTTTTTCCAAAAATAAACAGTTTCCCAAGTTGTGACGTCCCAACTTAAGAAATTTGAAGTGTACCATCTTGAGAAATATGCACTGATTCATAAAAATATAACCTATTTTATAAACACAACCTGTTGCAAAAGTTTCTTTCTGGAAATATTATTACAGTAAACCACACTTATAACCCGCGGCCTTAAAAGGTCTAAGCTACTTACCGTCAAGTCAGTATACGAAGTTGTCCTGCTAGCAAATATTTTTAAAAATCTTCCAAAAATTAAAAATCGGCTGTCCACTCTACACCAAGTATGACTAGACAAGCCATCTTCTATCTGAAAGATGGCTGTACTATTCACTTTCCACTAACACAAATAGATGCCGCCGCAAGTCTACTATGTCTTAAAAAATTACTGTCTCTTCTTAGGAGACCGTCCCATCTTAGGTAACTCTCCCCTATTATTTACCTACATCAACAAAACTCACCTCCTTAACAGCACTTAAAGGACATAAAAGGCCATTACTACCGTTCAAAATATTCTAATATGGTTGCGATGAGTTTTTTACAACGATTATTAAGATATCTTGTACACTTCGCACTAACAGAGGTTCTAAATAGAACAATGTTTGACTGCAAGGTCTGCTAATAAAAATATTTAAGCTTAAAGTATCAGAACATTCATTTAAACCAAAAACTCATAATAGAAAACTAAAGTGTCAAAAAGAATGACAATATCATGAAATAAATAAATAAATGTGGCAACTTGACATTTTTTTCAGCAGAGCTACTACCTGAATCCCTAGCGGGATACTTAAATTCCAGATAGTCAGCCCGGCGCCGAATATGTCCATGGTTATTGGCAACAATGATTTAAAAATCGCACCCTCGATTACTTAACTAAAAGTCTAATTGGTATCGCTTATAGATTAACAGCCAGCACACAATATAACTTTTAAATGACAGAGACGTTACAAAAATAATAAACACTATTTCATAGGTGTCTTGATTAGGATAATTTAACACTAAAATTGCTGTAAATCTTTATTTTCTTTTCAACAAATAGATAGAGCGTTTTTAAGGTTTTTAAGTGTCTTACTTTGTTATATCAATTCCAGGGTGTGTATCAAACTTGAGGGGACTTAAATTTTCAATTTAATACGAATTGATTGATCAAACCAAACCAAAATCGGCCTACTAAATCAAAATATATTGAATATACATGAAAATTTTAAGGTGTCCCATATTTGCATAGAATTTAAAATTCCTTTTTCAGTTGGTACTATTTTTCAAAATGGTAGTGATATAATTCAAATACAAAATAAGGTGTATTTTTCGGTTTATTTTTTATTGAGTTGCCGAAAAGAAATAATTTGTCCTTAAATAAAACAACTGGTAAAATAACATAATAATTTCTCTCGAAATTTTGAATATTTCTACATTTATTAAAGAGACACCTTGTATTCCATGCGTCCAAACGGTAAAAAAGAAGAGTCTGTCTGCGTCTGTGGTAAAAAGGAAATCATTTGCGAATGCCAGGAATAAGTTGGCGGATATTTTAATTGCTGCAAATTAATCTACATTCCGTTGGTCCAGTGACAGGTCTAGATAAATAAATCAATTGGTTGTGTGCGGAAAATGAAAAATGAAAGTAAATGCGTATATATCGAGAATCCCAATTTACATTGGTAATGAATTTGAGATTGCTAATGAAATTGTGACATTGATAATGGATTTGCGAAAGTTTCGTCATTTATAAAATATCAGAAAATTACAAGCACCATGTTAATGGATTGTATGCAATATTTAATTTATTAACAAATTTTACCATGATACTACATACTTAACCTGAATTTGTAAATTCTGTATATCGATAAAACTATTTTCTAGAATCAAGACTATACTCTTGTGAAAAGTGTGAAACATTAGATACATGTTTATTTTTTTAGAAATTTGTCACTGACGAGGAGTCCCATTAATTGACTAT